AGCAGTTGAAAGCTAAGAGAGAGAGAGAGAGAGGGCATTATGTTCATGCAAATTGCAATGCACACATACAACATCCATCCATTCATTCATTCATTCATCCCGTACAGTGCAGAGATGATTTTAACTTTTTACAGGAATTTAATGATCACAAGAGCATATGGCCGGATTTAAACCAGCAAATTAAAGCTATAAATATAGTGAAAGAAAAGGTTGATTTGACGGGGTTTATTGTCCGTCAAAGAAAAAGGTTCCTGGAAGTCGGAAGCTATGAGCCGGGAAAAAAAAAATGGCATAATGATGATGATGAGTGAGCTGAGCTCACCGGGTCCCACACAGTGGAACAAACGGTGGAAATCCATCATTGCGATTCAGAATTATTTCTCATCATTTCCACGTGTCCCCTCCGGCCCCCTACCTCCCTTCCCCGCTCTTGCCGTGGGTTTTGCCGGAGCCGGTCCAAATAGCATTTTTTTTTAAATATATAAATTATCTCAACTTATTATGACCCTGTTTGGTAAAATAGCTAGTCTATCAGCAATGTTGAAAAAATCGCTAGGCGCCTTCTAAGCGTTTGGGGACCGCCTAGGAGGCCGGGCGCTTAGGCGCGATTTTTGCAACAGTGTCTATCAGTTAGTTATAAACTTTCAAATTGACCATATATGGTCCTTCGACTTTCAAATTTAACCATTCGTGGTCTAAGTTAACCATTCATGGTTCATCAACTATTAAATTTTTAACCAACCATGGTCCTTTCAAGAGGACAACGTCTGGTTAAATTTTGAAACTTGAAGGACCACGAGTGGTTAACTTGAACCACGAATGGTTAAATTTGAAAGTCGAAGGATCACAAATGGTCAATTTGAAAGTTTAGGATTAAACGTGGCAAAACCACTATACTCAGAGGATCTCGGATGGTATATATATAATAACCAGGTAGGCAGGTACAAATTAACTCCAGCATCAAACAAGTCTGTTCAGCTCATTATAGAAGGAGGAAGAGAACTGTCGACTGAATCATATCATGATCCCCTAAACTATCGGAATGTTCAATGATTAGGGCTTATGTCACTATATATATATACTGCTATATATGTATATATATCCATCATCTCACACGTATATTCTATACCCACGGATGGGTAGATGGATTAGTAATAATTGCCAAACATTAATATGCCTGCAAACATCATTTATAAGGTTTGTACATAGATTCCCCAATACAATAATGACAACTATGAACCTTGCTAATTGGATTATTGATGTTTAGCATGTGTTAATTACACACGGGTGTTTCGATCTTGTATAAATATATATATGATGTTTATTTGTCTTCTTCATAAAAATGTTGTTCATTTAGATTCTATGTTATGATGCAACACTAGGAATGTTGTCCATGCCACATTAACATCCAAATGTAATAGGATAATAACATTATTAAAAATCACTCATTAATTAATAAGAGTCTGAGACAATGACCTTGTGGTCTAGTGACACCAAGTTGCTCTCTCATATGGAAGGTTGTGGGTTTAAGTTTTAGTGGAAATGGTATTGATTCTTTGTGCTTCAATATGTTAAGAATGTAGTTATGAACATACTGCATTGTAAGAGAGTTAGTAGTACTAAAAAAAAAAAATTGGGATTTTGGGGGCTTGTTGGTTTGCGAGTTGTGGAGGTTCAACCAGATGGGATCAAACATACTGTATTGTAACAAAGTCAGTAGTACTAAAAAAAATAAATTTTGGGGTTTTGGGGGCTAGTTGGTTTGCGAGTTGTGGAGGTTCAGCCAGATGGGATCAAGCAATAGTTACTCTGTGGATTACGTCGTTTCACGTAAATTTTTTCTTCACGCAATTTACTGCAATATACATTTTTATAACTCATAATGTACATTATTCTAATATATAAAGTATATTATTCTAACACAATGTGCATTATTATCTTATCCCAGAAGTTTCATTATTTTAACCCATAATGTACATTATTCTAACACATAAAACTCATTCATTATTTTAACTCATAAAACTTAGCGACATCGTTTGATAGTTAGATTTCACACCATTCAAACCCATAACCTTTGGCTTCACACCATTCAAACCCATAACCTTTGGCATGGCTCTAATACCAAATTGAAGCATGTGCTCCATCTCAACTAAAAGTCTAAACTGATAGTTAGATTGCACGTTAATGATTATATGCTCAACCGGGATCAAGCTACTTCTACTTACTGATAGTTTGGGTATGGCTCAGGCATGCTTTAATTTATTTAACTATATTTGTTTTTTTCTTTATTATTCCTCTCGTAGGAAAAAAAAAAATCAATGTCACTACATTATAGTTTTTATTAAAAATAGAATTTTTTTATTTTATTTTAGATGTATTCAAGATTTTCAACATCGGATCGGATAAACCTCTAATTTTAAGTGTATACACTATTTCGGAAGGCTTCATCGTCGGCAACCCGTCCAACAGCGTATATTATTGATGTGATGAAATTAAAATGGAAAAATTAAAAGCCAAAAAATTTAAAATAAATGTGAGGACACGAGAGATTTGTATGTCGTCTGATCTGGAAATCCATGCCATATAGTTGTCGAGGTCTGAAGGTAAACTTCAAACGCCATCACATGCTTGAATGTACCTTTGAGTTGAAAAATGAAGCACATTTAGAACGTAGTAATCGCAATTAAGACCGGACTTAATTTCTTGAAATATTTATTATTAATTTTTTCAATTTTTTTAGGGCAACATCAATAGTAGGAGTTTTTACTTAGTTTTACATATCCAAGTAGGGGAGATCGAGAAGTAGGAAAAAATAGAAAGAGAGAAAAAAAAAAAGAAATGTGACCAAAAAAACATACGAATGAACAGTTACGCGCTTAATTAGTGCGTGTACTGCACGTACCCAACTGGGCTCAGATGCAGCCCAAACACGCCAAAAAAAATTTATATGACAAGAGAAAAAACTCACCAAAAAACTATCCTCATATTAGTTAAAAATCTATTGGTGATTTTTATTCTGCAAAAAACCATGAAAAAACTCTGAATGGGGATGCTCTTACACCTTTTAGGTTTTTTTTTGGGAACCATACTACAATCCAATAGAGGATAGGTGTAGAGATCAAATAAGAGGACATGAAAATAATAAGTGTATTTTATGAAACGAATATGACGAGTTCTAATTTTATTATAGGGAGAAATGTAATATTGTTAGAGAATTATTCAGAATTCAATCACTTTTGAACACAGCCAAAAAATAAATGAAGATTTTAGGATATTCTTAATTTATTTTTTTTACTACCGCTAGTTGTTGTTGTTGAGCTTAAGTTTGGAGAGATTTACGCCTTTGCTACTAGCTATAACTTTTTGACACAGTGACAATAAGCGTTTGTCTTGATAATTGATACTAGAGCAAGTAACGGTTTGCATGATGTGTAATTGAGGCTGGCAGGGAATTGTTGGGCGGAGGCAATGATGCAAAATCCCAAAATTGGGAGAGGAATTGTTGCGCAGAGGTGGTGATGGGAAATCCCAAATTTTCAACAGTAAAAATAGAAGTAATAAAAGGTAACCCAACAATTTGGGATAGTTACGTTACGTTGGTAAGCAGTGTTACTTGTGCCGTGTCCTAATTAGTCTTACAGTGTCAAAGATATTTTTTTAAAAATACTAAATTAGTAAAAATGTGTCACCTTATTGTGCAGAGTAAAATTTGAGAGTAAGTATAATATTATTTGAGAGGACAATGAAGAGCAAATTAAGAGGAAAACATTAACACGTGGCATCAAATTTAGGGCCATGATTACAAATTCCACAAAGAAATAAAAAAAAAAAAAAAGTATAGTAGGAGATAGTTGAAATGTCATGTTCACCCACTTTAGCTAGCTACTAATGGCTTTTGGTTTTTGGGTTGGAAACCTTTTCGTCTGGCTTGGGAATCGATAGACGATGTAAAAGGGGGATGGTGAATTGTGAGCAGTGATCCCTTTGAGGTATATATAAAGTTGAGGTGATTTTAATGTAATGGGGATACACATCATTGTGGTAATTGAAAGTTATTCTCCCTCCATCCATCTACATTTAGGTCACCATCTTTCTATCATATCTACTTTGTTTTTGACTCTACCTCCCACCTTTCTCTTTTCTCCTTTTCCCCATAACAAAGAGAAAGGGAATGTATATATATATACATACATGTGTAATGTACATATGTGGTGCAAATATTATGTATTGGTACTGGTCACTACGGCATAATTATATTGTTACTTGCCTGCATGGGCAGTTCAGTTGGTCACAGGGGTGAAGTTTGAGAACAATGACTCGAGATCGAGTCTCACTAGCGGCAGTGTAAAAACGATCTCTTAAAGTGACGAGCTCCTTGTGTGCACTAAGTAAAGGTCTAGTATCTGTGTTTAACTAATAAGTTACATTTATATCCTCACACATGCTTTGTTAGCATGATTGTAAGGTGACTATTCTTATAGTTATGTCAAACTCAACTCGATCTATTTTTTATATAAGGGAGAAAGCATAAAGAAAATTAAATATTAGAGAAAACGATGAAACCACACAACCCACTAAAAATTAGAGAAAATGAGACCACGCAACCCCATTAAAATTTGCAGCTAGTAGTCTATAAATACCATCCGGAGGAGGGTCAAAGAAGGAAATGGGGATTCATCTTCTTAGGTGGACTTGAATAGCTTAGTGCAACATCAAAAAGTGACACTAACTGTTATATGCAAGCTAAGTATAAGAAAATAAAATTGTACCGTTATTATTAACTATAACTTTTGGTACGCTAATTAATTGTAATGGAGTGTATATATACTTGGTAAAAAAAGAAATAGGCATGTATAAGTGTATGCAGATCGAGAAAAAGGAAAGAGTGGAAAATGGATAAAATGTTGATGGGCATTGATGGTGTTTGCACAGAAAAAAGAAAGAGAGTTGAATACAAAAAAAATGTTTGACTCCATCAATCTATAAGTGAAGTGCAGTGCAGTGCAGACGTCTTTATCTCATGCCTGTGTGTTTTCCACCATATATATCAAAATGAAATGAAATGAAATGGTGTTATGCTATATTCCCATTTCCGAGCTGAGCTATGAGCTAGCTTGCATGCATTGCTTTCCTCATCTGAAAAGCACACTTCAACATTGTCACGGCCATCACACAAATTTCAAAATCCTCAGTGGAGTGGTCAATTTTCCCTTTGCATAATAATTCTCCCGCCATCACAACACAAATTGGATGGTGAACCCCCTCCCCAAAAGGTCCTCTTTTTTTTTTTTGAAGTAAAAATAAATAATTTTTTGGTCATATTCTGTTGATGAGCGGCGGTTTGGAGAGTCGAGTGCAACATTCTGCCATTGAAATGTAGCGTTAAAAGCAAATAAACTTGCGTTTAATTAGTTTTCACTACTAGATATAGCTTTTGGCGTAATGACAAGTAGTTGATTCAGACAATTGGTAACAGGGTTGAGCTGCGTTCTTATGTTATTTAAGAGATTTTTTTTTTTTAATGCAAAAGGAATATAATATTGCTTCACTTCATAATATTTGAACTTAAGATCTTACTATAAGCTATATATAACACATTGAAAAAAATAGTAATTTTTTAGTTGTATTCCATTTGTGATTTGACTTAAATCATGTTTAGTTCTAACTAATTTAGAGTAAAGTTGTGTTGCTATGTTATTTAAGAGATTTTTTTTTTAATTTTTTTTTTTTTTGGAAACGTTACACAAGTATAATATTGATCTACTCCACGATATTGGAACTTGAGATCTTACTACAAGTTGTATCATGTTGGGAGGTTTTAAAACTTATGTTTGTGAGTATTTGTTGGAAAAATGGCTTGTGTGTGACTATTTTGATACATAAGTGAAAGTGAATTTGAATTTTCTTAATTGAAGAGATAAATGATGTATATGTTTAAAATGATTAATGAGTGCATGAGAGTTTAATTCTCGAATTGTATCTAAGGAGTTCGAAAAAAAAAAAGATTTGGAAGAAGATATTATCATGCCTTAGCTTGAAAGAGTATGCCTGTGTTTTTTTTTTTAAATACTACTTACTTTATTAGAATATAGTCAATATCGCATCCACTAAGACTCAATCCTACAACCTCCCTTATGAGGGAGTAATTTGGTGTCATTGGATTACAAGATCCTTGGCAGTATGTCGGTGTTAAATTGTTTATTAATAGCTAATTTTTTTTTTATTTTTTTTAAATACAGCTAATCTTAAACAATTGATTGATTGAAGAATTGTGTGATATAAATATTGAATATTTTGTTTAACTTAAGGCCTTGTAATCCTGTATGGTAACATAGTTAGTTTATTAGTTGATTTTGGCTTGTTTGACCAGTATTAGTTGTTTGACTTGATTAAACAATCAATATGAGTGTTTAATTAATTAGCTTTTTGTATTAGCTTATTGCTCCAAAACGCTAAACTTCAAAAGCTGCTCAAAGCATCTCTTTCGATCATATTCTTGAGAAAATCATTTTGCATTAAATCATCTATCAGCTAATAGCTAATTACCAAACATGTTCTGGTCCAACACTCCAACTCAATAACACAATCAGCTAACAGCTATTTACCAAACACTCCATAATCTTTTGGATTTATCTAATGAACCGGGAAGATAAAATTTGAATCCAAACAATATAATACACCCATGACCCATTATTAGATACACAATGGCACTCGAGTAGGGCAAATTATGTTGTGCATCCGTATGCACCATGGTGCATACAGATGCAAAAACGACGTCGTTTTATTAAAAACGCGCGTCTCCTCTTAAAAAACAAAATCAGGTTCGATTTCCAGCAACAACATATGAACTAAAATTCCAGAATTGATGAACTATAATTCCAGAATCGATGAACTATAATTCTATAATCTATGAACTAAAATTCCATAATCTAATCTATGAACTAAAAATTCCAAAATGAATGAACTAAAATTCCAGAATCTATGAACTAAAATTTCAGAATCGATGAACTACAATTCCATAATCAATGAACTATAATTTCAGAATCGATGAACTACAATTCCATAATCAATGAACTATAATTTCAGAATCAATGAACTAAAATTCCATAATCTATGAACTAAAATTCCAGAATGAATGAACAACATAATGTTGTTGCTGGGAATCGAACCTGAATTTTTTTTTTTTAAAGGGGAGACGTTTTTAATAAAACGACGTCGTTTTTGCATTCGTATGCACCATGCATGGTGCATACGGATGCACAGCATAAATACTCCTCGAGTAGGACTTTTTTTTGTTTGTCTCAGTGCTGAATTAATATGGGCCTATTTTTGGGTTGTGGAACACTGGAACTGTCGTACCAAATATGGGTCGAACTGGAAAACAACATAAATTGACCTAAGACAAGTGAGTCCTCGCAAATTATAATGTGGATTCAAGTCCACTCCGCAAGGTGGATCCGAATCCAATTATTTATAATTTACTTCAATACTTAGTTAAAAATTTACAATTTGTATACTACTAATACACAATGTTAACATATATGTAATTGATTAGTTTGTCCATGGTATAACAATTGATATCCATTGTGACCATACATTTAATCATTCATCTTTCATCGGCAAATTATACCATGGTTTCAGAGTTCATCTTGTATTGTAGACCCTGGTTTAAAATGACATTTAAAGTATATCGTCAATTAACATATTATGTATTCGCAGTTGACAAATTATGTACTTATAAATAAATTAAATGTACATAATAATATAATATGTTAATTATATATACATAATTTATAACTACATGAAGATTTTTTTTTTTTGGGACGACATAACTACATGCAGATATGTTAACTATATATATATATATATACAGACACACTTAATATTTTAAGTGTAATACACATAATATATTAACTGAAAGTGCATAATATATTAATTATATGCACGTAATTTGAATGTCGTTTTGAACTAAGATCTACATTGTAAGGTGAATCATGGTCTATCTATGGTATAACAATTGTCTTTCATCTTTCATATTCACAATTAAGAGACGTACTCTCAACACCAAAAAGTTGGAAATTCAGAAATGAACATCTTTGTACTAGGTTGAAAAAATAGTTATGAACAAATACTAAGTAGTATACATTCTCTAACATTTTAAAATAAATGGTAGGACACAGACAGATTTGTATTGTATGTTGTCTGGAATTCCATGCCATATAGTTATTATTAATTTTATTCAATATACCTTTAGGTCTTTTGGGAAGACCATACTGCAGTCTAGTAGACGGTAGGGGTTGAGATCAAATAAGAGGACAAGAAAATAATAAGTGTATTTTTATGAAATGGATATGACGAGTTCTAATTTTATTATACGGAGAAATGTAATATATTGTTAGAGAATTATTAAGAATTCGACTACTTTTTGAACACATCCAAAAATACAATTGGAGATTCACGCGGACGTTAATTGGAAGTAATTACAATTCTATTCCCATCTAATTTTCACATAATTATAAAGGCAAATAGATTTCTTCGTTTAGTTGAAAGAAATTGCAATTTCATCATTTTCATATAATTAGAATTAATGCCTCTATTGGTATTTCAATTCAATGGATGGATTTTAGGAAGAAAAATTACATAATTTGAGACAAAATTACTCTTTTAATCTAAAATTAATGTTTAACCTATCTCTTTCTATCGTATTGTGTATTTTTCTTTTTCTGCTCTTAACACAAAACGTCAATTAGTAGGCCACAGCAATTTGATTTAAAATTTGTCGAAATATAAATTAAATGTAAAGTTATGTGAATTAAATTTAATTCACTAAGTCTTTTCGTTCTGATTTTACATAATTTAATTATAAAATATTGAGAGACTAAAATATTAAAATTTATAGAAACTAAACCAAAATATTGCAAAACAAGTTACAATTTTACCAATTTTATGTTTTTTAAAAAATATTTATTAATCAAATATGAAAAGTACTAATCTTATATAAATGTAAATATTATGAAGTAAAATTATTATTGTCACTGAAATATCTCTAAGAAGTGACAATTTTGACTAGTACAATGAAGAAAAGTCAGTCATTACAAGAGAAAGAAGTGACAATTTTTTGTCACTGAAATATCCTAAGAAATGACCATATTTTTTTTTTCCAAGGAGACAAGAAGTCAAAATTTTATTTTTGGAAGGAAACATGGAAAAATCTATAGATTTGCATGAAGTCCAATAAATTAAGCAAATTCAACTTTCTACCCAAATAAAATAATTTTTTAAAAAAATTATACTCCGTAATTAAAAAAAAAGGAAAATGACACTTTTTCCCCCTGAGTTATATATTTATAGCACTTTTTTCCCTTCAATTATTCAAGTGGCTGTTTTTCCCCTTAAAATATTAAATGGACATATTTACCCTTAAAATAAATATTTTATTTATTTTTCTTTTCCAACAAATTATGACCATAATTTGGTTCAAACCAAATAAACACTATAGCAACCAAACCGAAATATTTCAATTACAATTTAGAATCGAAACTCGATATTTAGAGTTTATTAAAATCTCAGAATGGACGGTTCATGTTTCGAACTGAAAAAATAAAATATATTTATTGTTGAATTTAGACTATTTTTAAAATAAAAATAAAATTTTAAAATAAAAACGGTTCAAAATCGCGAATCGGGTCCGGAACCGCAAGTTCACGGTTCAGGATCCAATTTTTTTGATTCATAATTTTAATAAATTGAAATCCAAATATTGGGTTCTAGATCTGAATCATAACCGGAAACTTTTAATTCGATTGCTATAGTGTCCGATTCAGTTCGAACCGAATCGTAGTCATCCCTACGTATACGCAATAATTTGTTGGAGAAGTAAAATAAATAAAATGTTTATTTTAAGGATATAAATGTCAATTTAATATATTAGGGGGGAAAACAACAACTTTTAGAATAATTGAAGGGGTTAATGTGCTTACCTAAATAATTGAGGGGGAAAAAGTGCTATAAGTATATAACGGGGAAAAAGTGCCATTTTCCCTTTAAAAAAAAAAAAAAAAAAAAAAAAAAAAAAAAAACTGGGGAGAGTACGTGCCTATAAATATCCCATTCTAACTCCCACGAATCCATGCATCCATCTTCCTCCACCATAACCTCCATTAGCGCCGCCGATCACCGCCGTCGAAAGCTTAAGCTGTGTTCTTCCCGCAATGCTAATGGCTTCCCTACCAAATTCTTCCGTTTCTCTCGTCGTCGCCGTCCTCATGATGTTAGGTAAACAATTCGATCTTTAGCATTTAATCACAATTATATCAACAATCTGAGCCATCTTACGTTTGTTTTTGGCAGGAATTACGAATGTTTGGGCTGCTGGTTCTTTCACGCTGCACAACGCTTGCACGTATACGGTGTGGCCCGGAACACTTTCCGGCAACGGCGGAGCCCATCTCGGCGAGGGCGGCTTCGCATTGTCCCCCGGAGAAAGCGTCGAGCTTCAAGCCCCCGCCGGGTGGTCGGGCCGGTTCTGGGCAAGAACAGGCTGCAATTTCGACGCCAGCGGTAACGGCAACTGCGTCACCGGCGACTGCGGCGGGCTCAAGTGCGGCGGCGGCGGCGTGCCTCCGGTGACTCTAGCCGAGTTCACCATCGCGAACGGGAACGCCGACAAGGACTTCTACGACGTCAGTCTCGTCGACGGCTACAACGTGGACCTCGGCATCCGCCCTTCCGGCGGCTCCGGCGACTGCCAGTACGCCGGCTGCGTCGCCGACCTCAATACCAACTGCCCCGAGGTCCTCCAGGTCACCGATTCCGGCTCCGTCGTCGCCTGCAAGAGCGCCTGCGCCCAGTTCAACACCCCGGAATATTGCTGCACCGGCGACCACAACACGCATGCGACATGCTCGCCGACTCAATATTCCCGGATTTTCAAGAACGCCTGCCCTAAAGCTTACAGTTACGCGTACGATGACGATTCCAGCACTTTCACCTGCGCCGGCTCCGATTACTTGATCACCTTCTGTCCAGGCAGCTGATCAAACCTTTAAAGAAACAAGAAATTATCTGCATCATAGTGAATGCATATCGTTTTAGAACGTTGAAATATTGTAATAATTCGCACTTATTAATCACTGATTATTGTACCATCTGCTCGTAATGAATGTATTAAGTTTAAAATGATTGAATAAAATAAATCTTTCTATGTACTTGATGATGGGTGTGTTTCTATTTAGAGATTTCACCACAAATGTCCGTAGGGATAACTCAATTGGTTTTTCAGTGTCTATGCAGGACTATGAATAGCTCAATTAATTTTTAGGTGGCAAATTGTGAAAAAGTCCGACCCCCACAATCGCAATGTAAGAGTTTTACTCTCTTTTGAGATGACTCCTTGTAAACAGAATTGCCTTGATTTATCAGTACTTCACAATTCTGTTAGGTCGAGATGTTTTGTGGGCAAGAGATTTCATGATAAGAAAATGATGTAAGACATCATAGATGGAAGGGTTGATGCATGTGTTCTTCGTTGTATTAGATGGAAGTTAGCTACATTGCTATCAGACATGAGTCAAGTGGCTGTAGACTTTTCATGGGACTGTGCATAGTCACAATAGGCGCTATGCGCTAGTCGAGCGGTAGAGTAGCGCCTAGACGGTCTAGGCAGCTAATTAAAATAAGAAAAGATAGTGCATGTGTTTAGGTGCAATATGTCATATTATACATATACATACATATATATATATATATATATATATATATATATATATATATATATATATATATATATATATAAATGAAAAAAATATGACTGTTGGAGAAGTTACATGGAAGTTTCTGCACTTTTCAAAAACTTAACTTCCATAAAATATATCTTAGTTATTGTATTAAGTTAAAAATGATTGAATATGCCCTGTTTGGTAAATGGTGGTTAGCTGATTGTCTTGATTAGGGGGTATAATTAGTTGATAACATTAGCTGCTGTAAAAAAGTGTTTGGCAAATTAGCTGTTGGCTGATAGTTGTTTGTTACAATTCATTTTCTGAAAAAGCTAATTAAAAAAGTTGTTTGGAATAACTTTTTGAATTTTAGCATTTTGGAGTTGCAAAAAGTTAATTAATCAAACACTTATATTGATATTTTAACTAAATCAAACAATTAATAGTGATCAAAATCAAGCAATTAATAGTGGCCAAATAAGCCAAAATTGGCCTATAGGCCAATTTTTTACCAAACAGGGCTATCGTATAGATAGCTCAATTGGTTCTTGAATGTCTATGCAGAATTATAGATAGATCAATTAATTTTTGGGTGGACAAATTGTGAAAAAGGTCAGACCTTAGCAGTCACAGCGTGAGAGTTTTATTACTCTTCAAACACTAGTCCTCTCATTTGATGGGCGTTGAATTGTTTTGATTTACTACTCCACAAGATCTAGTGGGGACAAAAGTCAAGAAATACCTCAGAGGTGAACCAGCAAAAATTGGAGGAATTACAGCAGTGTTCAGATGCATGCATCCATTTTTTCTGTGATAATCATATGTTGGATAGTTTGCAAAGTTAAAGAAGTTGAAGAGAAGATTCAGAATAAATTGTATGGAAGATCTGCAAAAGCTGATGCCAAGGACAGGTTTCTATAATGCCATTTACACACAATTTTCTATGTAACATACTCTTAATAACACACAATTTCGAATGATTCTGTTCCTCTCTGGATAGACAAAAGATAAAAGGCAAATTTCTTTAACATCTGTCACAAAAATTGAACTTTGGGTTAAAAGCATTCCTGTTGAAACTATAAAGACTGTAATGCAGATAACCAGGTAAGTGACAAACTTGATGACCAAAGGCTTCATTTTATCTAATTTTATTCAGACTGTCACAATGGTATAACAATACAGTATGCTGCAGCAAATTGTCATTTAGGATTTTGGATTTTGAGACTGTCATATTAATAAATAAAGTTTACATGAGTCAAGAAAGCACACTGCAATGATATGACAAATTTTCCAATGAGAATATCAAAGGTATATAAATCTGCAAAGAAATTAGCCAAACCAAGATTCCATTTGTTTGAAGGCCAGTAACTACATATTTAAGAGTTGAGACCTTTTAGGCCAGGCAGACAGGAATGTTTGTTGCCTATATGTATCTGCATAAGACTATGCAATGTTCATTGCTAGCTTGCTGCAAGTATCTTCATCTCGAAGTGATTTTTATCAACCCCTCACCCGAGGGATCCCAAGAACACGAATTTCAATTTCTCAATTCACATCCTTCGTTAGAAGGATCAGTCATCCATGTCTGTTTCTTCATCCTCAGAATCGAATATGTAGTTGTCATTTTTGCCATGTCTGCCATCTAGCCTAAGCCAATACACTTCATCACACTCTTCCTCAGAATCAATATCCTCTGCTTCAGAAAACGAATCAATAAACCCATCAAAACTAGCAATTTCCTCAGTCATTCCACCGTCGAATTCGCTGACAGAGAATCTACTATTACTCCTCTTCTTTGCCACTAAGTCATTCTCAGTGATCTCTCCATTTTCAACTCCAATCCAGGGAACCCACAAATCGGCATATCGCCCCAATGATCTATCCAAATCCCCCACCACCACAGTCCCCAAATTGGCAACTCGAGCCCTTTTCAACATCTCGGAAAAATCCGAATCATCAGAAACCAAGAACAGCCAATCAATCCCTCTGCTCATAGAATGCTGCATTTGTCTCTTCAATGCCCAATCTGCAGCCTGAGGCTTATCCGCCACCGTCTTCACGAACACCCCGGCTCGCCTCAGCTCCGAGGCCAAACCGTACCCTTCTTTAGGAGTTATTAAGCTCCGGGCACCCTCCATATACTTCTGGTTATTGTCAATAAACCTTTCCTTAAAACGCTGCCGTTTCTTCCCTTTCAGAGCCCTCATCCGGCTCAGCTTCTTCTCCCTCTCCCTCTCGTGAAGCTGCTTGAAATGCTTCTTCAAATCCATATTAGTCTTACATTTCCGGCCACAAACGGAGCAAATATAGGGTTCCGGCGGCGCCACGGCGCCTTTACGCTCGAGAATATCGAGGCGGCGGCGCTCGCGGCGCTCGTCGAGGACCCATTGGGGAAGGTGGATGAAGGCGTGGCGGTTGGCGTACGCCGACATGTCCACAACTTCGCCGAATTTCTGGGCCACCTTTTTCAGCTCCACCGCCGCCTGGTACGGCGGGCCTCGCGGCGGCTTGTTGTCCAAGTCCCACAAGACCACAACTTTCTTGGACTTGGCGGTGTAGACCCCTTCTTTGGTCCGAACCATGTCGATTTCTTGGCCTGAAGCGCAGGCTCTGATGCTCCTCCATCGGAGCGGTGTTTGAGCGTGGAATGAGGGTTTGGAAGGTAATAGAAGTATGGGTTTGAAGGAGAAGTTGGGAGAGAGGTGTTTAGGGAGAATTGAAGAATGGGTTTTGAGTTGGATGGGATTGAAGACTGTTGCGCTCGGCATTATCCTCCTTCTCCTCCGAGTTCTTATAGGTTTTGGTCTGTGGAGGAGATTAATGTGCAGGGAAGATGAACTGGGTAAGGCTTGTATAAGCATTATCTAACGACTTAGTCCTTAGAAAATACCCTTCACAAAATGTGAAATTCCTTGTAGAGGTGTAAATTAAGATAATTTGATAGTCTAAAATAGAGTTAATATCCAATTTCATCCTTACGAATTTCATCAATTTGGTCATCGACTATCAAAGTTGTTCAATTTTGTCTAACAATACAATTTTTACTTAAAATGGTCTTTCGACTATTAAAATTTCACCACTTTAATCCTCCACTACCAAAGTTGCTTAATTTAGTCCCTAACTATGCAATTTTTACCTGATCCTGAACTATTACGGCTCGTTTAGTTCGCTGGAAAATATTTGAAGGGAAATGGAATTGAAATTCCATGGAAAATAAATTCCAAGAAAATAGATTCCATTGTTTGGTTGGTGGAAAATAAATTACTGAGAATATGAATTCCATTGTTTGGTTGAGTTTGGAATAGTAAGGAATAATGTGTATAATGACAAATATAACCCTACACAACAATAATAATATAATAATAATAATAATAAGAGTAATTAATAAAGAATGGTGATGGTAAAATTGTCATATTAATTTTCCATGAAAAACCTTTTTCATGGAAAACAAAATACCTAACATGAGCTAAGAATTTGTTTTCCTCATTTTCAAGGAAAACTTTTTCCATCCAACCAAACAACATAAAACATCATTCTCCTTCATTTTTAGGAAAACATTTTCCATGGAAAATGTTTTCCATCCAACCAAACACCCCCTTAGAATTTTACCACTTTGGTCCTTGACTCTCCAAAAAGGTCTCCAAATCCACACTAAACTTACATTTTAGGTTAACATTTGCATAGTTGGTAATTAAATTGAACAACTTTCGTAGTTGAGGACCAAAGTGGTGAAATCTTAATAATTAAGGAACTATTTTAGGTAAAAATTACATATTTAGAAACTAAATTGAACAACTTTAATAGTCAAGGACTAAATTAGTAAAATCTAATAGTCGAGGGACCAAATCGGGTATTAACTTGACTAAAATATTATACCCCAAGTATTTCACACATTGAGATATTTTTAAAATGTTTCAAAATCATTTTCATAATATGAAAGGAAAGTATAGAGGCAAACTAACATAATCTGAGATACATGATGTATAAAAAAAAAAATTAAAAAAATGAAAGTTTTCAATGATACATACTTCAAAAGTCGAATTACACATCATCAATGACTATACGGCCATGTTATTACAATTAACACTCATATTAACATCGTTAATTAATGTTAATCGTACCAAATAAATAGATACACGAACTAATTCTCACTTACTAATTGAACCAAGTTACTGGGCTAATGCTTAGAGGAACTTTACTAGTAAAAGACATGACAATGTCCTTGAGATTGAGGTATTCAAAGCAATCAAAACATAGGATAAGTTGCAGATCTAACATATGCACTTTCAAACCTTAGTCAGAGACAAGATCAAGTTTTTTGCAGAATGGTGACACTATTCATTTGAGGACTGCAAATGTCTCTTTCTAACAACCAAGCAACAGTTATGTCTGTCTAATATACTTACAAAATACGGAGTATATAACAACAATACCACAAGAGTACTAGATAATAGTCGGGTATTGCTTGGCCTGCTGCTTGACCCTTTTCTTGTACTCCCCTGTTTCCTGCAAGCAACACCCCACATATTAAGGAATAGAAGATTAAAGAATGATTTTCACGGGCAGCTCAGTTAGTTCTTGAGTAGTAGATTGTGGACAAGGACACAAGATCGAGTCTTGACAGCTGCAGTGTGGGAGTTACACCCAATGTGGTGGGATCCTTGTAAGAGCCAGGCACTGGTCCTCCCACCTAATGGACAACTAAGTCACCGTGATTTAGCCTCCACTTTTCTGTTGGGCCGGGTGGAGGAGCCATGGGGGCGAGGTTGTGGGCAAGAAAATTAAAGAATGACTTTCACGGGCAGCTCAGTTAGTTCTTGAGTGGTAGGTTGTGGACAAGGACACAAGATCGAGCCTTGACAGCTGCAGTGTGGGAGTTACACCCAATGTGGTGGGCTCCTTGTAAGAGCCAGGCACTGGTCCTCCCACCTAATGGACAACTAAGCCACCGTGATTTACCCTCCACTTTTCTGTTGGGCCGGGTGGAAGAGCCATGGGGGCGAGGTTGTGGGCAAGAAAGTTAAAGAATGACTTTCACGGGCAGCTCAGTTAGTTCTTGAGTGGTAGACTGTGGACAAGGACACAAGATCGAGCCTTGACAGCTGCAGTGTGGGAGTTACACCCAATGTGGTGGGCTCCTTGTAAGAGTTAGGCACTGGTCCTCCCAGCTAATGGACAACTAAGTCACCGTAATTTACCCTCCACTTCCCTGTCGGGCTGGGTGGAGGAGCCATTGGGGCAAGGTTGTGGGCAAGAAAATTAAAGAATGGAACAAATGCAATAAAACTGTTACTTCAATCAGAATAAGAGGGTACCTGAATGAATAGCTGGTAGCCATCGGTTTGTGCAGGATCATTGGGGTTTGGCTGATCCAACAAATCTTGGATACCCACTACAATTTGCTTCACTGTAATAGCTGGCCTCCAACCCTAAACAAAAGGTATGTCCATAGAATCATTGGAGATCAGAGTACTACAATAACTATTTTAATGGAGGAAGAAAAGCATTGAGAAGCACTTACACTATCCTCGTTGAGAATAGACAGGCATACAGTTCCAGATGGATACACATTAGGATGGAAGAAGCCTGGAGGAAACTTGCATTTTGGGGGCTTGCTTGGATAGTCTTCACTAAAATGCATCGTGAGTGGATAGTAGCCGCCTTCCCAGTCAGTCTGCAAATAAAGGGTTTCTCTTTAAATCTTTTAAAGCACTGCTGAAAAATGAAATGAAAAACAAAGCTGAGTGGACCAATAAAGAATGTCACTGCATCGTGCTGAAAATTTTGCAAGGGTACATGGTCAATATAGCAGGTATCCAAGCGGCCAAGCCCGAGAAAGGTAATTAGGTAGTGTCACATAATTACCCTTTTCCAGAAATGCATTTATTTGTTTAGTAGGCAAGATTACTGTTAGTACCTTCACATGCTTATACACATCTCAAGACACTTCTCCCCAGATACACCTTATGTTTGAAACACGGAATGAAACTATGACAAAGACATTACAAAACCATCTTCTACCCAGGAAAGTTTGGGCACTGCAACACTCTACCCTGGAGAGGCACTTTATACTTGAAGCACTGACAGAATCTATGTCTAAGACATTACAACACTGGACTAACATTAAGAAAGCCTCACTTATGTAATGATACTGTTAAATAGCTCTTTGAAGGCTGAGTTAACTACATGTATCTAAAGCAATTATGTTCATATGCACAACTTTTGACATAAATAACATCTGGAATTCCCTCCCCGAAAGCAAAGCCTCCTTAAGCATTGGTGGTGCATAAGATAATTTCAAGGAAACATTTCCTTAATTCAACAGCCAGTGAAAGGAAGATGCCAAAGACGAGTAACATCCAATATTTCAATTGTTGCACAAAGATTTTATAAATATATATTTAAAAAAAAAAAAAAAAGAAAACAAACAAACCAACCACCTTTCAAGTGCTTGAAGAAGATTGAACATTGAAGCCACTCTCCAAGGACCAAGAGCAACTCTAAATTCATTCAGGATTGGTGGAAGCAACCTCATTCATGAATCATGGACACTAGAGACCTCACATGTCAATCTTAATAGGCATTCATGAATCATATGCAGAGTAGTTTTAAAGTAGGCCTTACGGCTATTCTCATCAGACTGACTAATTTTTCCAAGAAGAGCAAAGATTCTTTACCTTATCAATTAACATAGCCATTCAGCTCATACATCTATTTTTGAACATTAAATTGCAAAACTCAGTAAAAAATCAAGGGAATAACTCATAACTACAGCAATTCCAGCCAACAAATCAGGTTACTAATTAAATTACAGACAATAACTCCAAGTGCACGGGGCATTATAAGCCATAACAATCTTCGTATATAAGCAACTTTTATATTACACTACTAAGTTTTCTGCGATTACTGTCAAATTACAGAGCTTTACAAAATGACAAACACTTGACAGGCAGAATGCCTCATGAGCACTACCCAAAATAAATGGGTAGCTTCAACAACTATACTAAAATTCAAATCACACACACAATAGAAAATCAGAAACAACTGGCATAGTGAAATACTGATGAAAAATCAAGACTAAAACTTTACCCACTATCTGTGCTCAGAAATGAGCAAAAAATTCTTAAAAGGGAAGAGAAAGCAGAAAAAGAACTTACCCCTGTTTTACCAGGGATAACGCAATGCCAAACCATCAAATTGACGGACCCATCCGCACCGGTCTCCGGCTTCGCTACAAAACCCTAAAAACAGCGCGAAAACATAAAAACCCACAGTTAGAGAAACACACACACACCGAAATATATACACAAAGAGTGAGGAATAAAGATAAAAGAGAAAGACATGAGGGTGATTCTTCCTCCAGGTTTTGCGCTCCTCGGCGAGACGACCACGCGCTATACCGCCTGACATTTTTGCTCCTTCCCCCTCTGCTTGTGCTTGATGCTCAGGCTTCTTTGATGAACGTGAAACTATGAATAGGCTTTCTTACAAATGTTATGAAGGTAAGAAGTTTAATTCAAAATGATATTCAGAAATTAAAATAAAGGTTTATATTTTAAGGTAAGGTGCATTTTTGTATCTAAATTTAAAACACATTAAAAATATTAATGTTAAATAATTCGAAATAAAATTTATAAAATTTTTTAATAACTTAAATACAAAAGGATTTGATCTCTTGACCTCTTAAATAAAAAGCATAATCAAAAGGATTTGATTTGTTGACCTCTTAAATAAAAAAGCATGTATACCAACTAAATTATCTTATATTTAAGAGTTATACTCCCTCAAATTTACACCCATATTTAAGAGTTATACTCCCTCAAATTTACACCCTGATGTGACGGGACTCTGATAAAATATTTTCTTCATGTGAACTCATGTAAAAGTGTCTATATCAATATTTTAAGTGTGAGAATAAAGAATAAGAATACATGTAATATTTTCTTATATTTAATTAAAATATATGTACAGGAGTGGGGTGGTTTGGGGTGGGCCCCACCATACATGGGCCATCAGCAAGGACATAACTGACCCTATATGCATATGCATTTATTACATTCAGTTAATAAATTAAAGAGTTAAATCCACTTTTGGTCTTACATTTATTGTGCATTATATACATTTTGCCCGCTTTTATTAATTTTGTCACATTTTGTCCAGATTTTTTAAAAGGTGGACACTTTTGATCCACCGTTACATTTGCTGTTAAACATCCATGAAGTAGGAGGGGAATTATGTCATTTCAAGTATATTTTGTCATCATCCTTCAAGTTTCTTGGTCTCCCCAGACCAACCACAAAACCCTCAACAATTGGGCAATCAGACGGCTTTAGAGGATTATCAATGGCGACTCTGTCGGTCGCCAAGTCGTTTGTTCCGGCTTTGACTGGTGTGGATGGTGCTGGGGTTGAGGGGCAAACGACTTCTGATGAGAAGATTGATGTTCGACAGTCGCCCGAGAGTTCTAAAGAAACTTACTCTTGGTCAGTAATCTATTTTGTTTTGTGTTACAATGTGGTATCTTAGGTTGTGAAATCTTGAGCATAGAAATAGAATTGAATAAGCTCTAATAAAAAGTGGTATCATAGTTTAGGTTGAGAAATCTTGGGCATAGGAAATAGAATTGGTAATTCAGTGGAGATTTGATTCTTTCTTAAGCCGAGGTATTCAGTAGGGTCTTGTGATTTGATTTCATAGGTTATACTCTAAAAGAGCTCTCTCTCTAAACTTTCTCCCGATTCAAAACTCTCATTCAGTATTCACTATGGATTCCTTCATCGATAAACTTTCCAACAAATTCAACGCCCGTCATGAAATTACAAAGCTCAAAGATATCCCGCAGAAGACGAATGAGAAGGCTGACTAGGACTATGAAAGCCTGATAGTTCACCTAAGGATTTGAACAAGAAGCTCGGTGAGGCAAATAACAGGATAGATGAGCTGGTGAAGGTAAATAATGATCTGAAGAGTCAACTACAATATACCACAAAGGAGAAAAATGAGATTGATGAGACAACCGCAGAGCATAAAACCGAGCTTAGCCATATGGAAGTAATTGTTGGGATTACCTGGGAAAATGAAGCCAAGCGTTTGGAATCAATTGGCGCGTATAGCTATGAGTTGACCGGCAGAGTGGAGGAACAAAGGAAAGACATCGTGAAATTAGAAAAAAATATTATTAGCAATGATAATAGCTCTTTATGAAAAACTGAGTATATACCATATAATAAAAACACTCAATAAATATTCAAATTCTAAGTATTTATTGAACGCACAAATAAATCATGTAAAATTTTACAATAATGTTGAATGTTGAATAATAATAAAAATTTAAGACGGATAATGGTTGTATGGACTGTGATTGACATATCGAAAAGGTTGGAGAAAAAAAAAATTTAAGCTCTCGTTGGAGTATGTTAAGCTCTGATACCATGTAAAATATTTAGTAAAAGAAACTCAATATCTTATTAATTCCAAGCATAGTCTTTTATTAAAAAATTATACAGAGATGAAAGGCATCCATGTAGTTACGGTAACAACAATAGTATATATAGAGAAACCAAATCCTGACCAGTAATCTATTCTGTTTTGTTTTTATTCGGTTCACTTTATGTTACAAAGTGGTATCAGAGCTTAGGTTGCGAAATCTTGGGCATAGGAAATACAATTGAATAGGCTCTGATAAAGATTGGTATCAGTGCAGATGAAAGAAACTATTCAGATTGTTCGGGGAAGGGAGGCCGAACGTTTCAACTCGGAATTCGTTTCACAAAGTCATTGAGGAAGACAAAGGAAAAGGCTGACGAGGACTCTAAAAAACTGGAATCTTATTACTTCGAAACTGAGAAGAAGTTTGCTAATGCAACATGCAGAATAGTAGATTTGGAGGCTGAAAACAATCAGCTGAGGAGCCAAGTCCACGATACCAAAATGGGGAAAGCTGAGGTTATTGAGTCCAGCAAAGAGAAGGAAAAAAGGGTAAGCGAGATGGAATTAGCTATTCAGATGTTCCAAAAAGGGAAAAACAATAAATTGAAATTGGCTAATAAGTATATCTATTAACTTATCCCAAAATTTAATTTTCTAAATTCTATTTTAAGAAATTTCAAAATAGCCATTTTTCACTCTTCTAAAATTTTTATAATGAAAACGGTGTATGAATTAATTATTTTGAGTTACTTTTTAAATAAATTCAACACCGGGACTTATTCTATTTCTGGAAGCCTAAATTCTCGGGTACAGTGCGTACCAAGCTTTGATCAAAAGTCAATCCGAGTGAAACCGGGAGAAATTTGAGAAAACTAAACTAAGTGGTCATCTAGAAGTTATTTTTTGAAAAAAATATATTTTTGATCCCAAACTATTTAAAATCTCCTTTCTGATATTTTAAAGAAACAAGCAAATGACCACTTTACCCTCCACCAATCATTGAGAATCCTTCTAGGGTTTTGAATCCGGATAAAAAGGTGAAAATGCCCGTTTTTACAATAAACAGTTCAAATTATTTTATCAATATGAGTATCCTATATCGATATTTATTTTGAAAACATCTCTATAATTAACATAGTGATAGAAAGAGTACCATGCAGTGTCTTGACTTCAAACGATTTGCTTTAACCATGTTAATAGTCCCGCATTATTGGTTGAGAGAGAATCGAAGTAGATTTACCAATAAATCACGAAATATATTCTCAGAACTCTCCGTTGATACGACATGCTATTTTTAACATCCATTTCCCCTCAGGATCAGTCGCGGTCTTCCAAGCTTTACCGATGGTATAGACGAATCCCTAAAAGAGAATCTAAAAAGAAAAACGACCGAGTAAAGGAAAAAAAGCGATTAGAGATAGGGGAAACCTGGGATACTTTTGAAATTACCCAAATGTTATGTCCCCTTGTTCCCTGTTTTTTTTGTCTATCTTTTTTTTTTTTTTCCAGATGATTCGCAAGTTTTCGTTGCTGTTCTATTTCTTCATCAAAATTGAAACGAAACAAATAAGTTAAAAACAAATGACTCCTCAAATTAAAAATTAATGAGTTTTTGTCTCTCGAATATCCAATTTCTCAATTAAAGAAGAGCAATAGGAAATCAACCTTGCCTCCTGATTCCAGTCCTTGTCTTCCCATTCCAAGTGCTCTGCAAGAAAGAAAGAAGAAAAAGAGTAAGTTTCATAGGTTTATTTTCCACCTTTCATCCATTTCCCATCTAGCGTTCATCCCTTAGCCTTTTATCTCTTAGGCTCTTGTTCTTAAGAGTTGTTGTATGGCTTGTTTGAGGTATTTAGGAGGTGAAGGGGGGTAGTGGCTGACTTGGGGAGAAGGAGGAATCCCTGCAAGAGAAAAGGTTACAAGAGGTATAACCCATGGACTCCCATTTAGCTTATTGACGCAGTGACGTCTTTTGTGGTAGTGAAAATACTTAGAAATGCTAGATTATTGATGTAGTTGAGCTTTTGATGAGTTATTGTTGATCTTTGATGGATTTGTGAAGTTTTAGGAGTGTTATATTATACTGAAAATGCCTACAGGTGAAGAGAAGGCCTCTGGTGCACAATGTCTGGTGAACCAGACAGCCTCACGGTGCTAGCCAACGGACCACGAGGGGCTCCGCCGGCTAGTACCGTGGAGCAACGGTCCCAGGGGGCAGACCATGAAGTGATTCAATTCAATTACGAAAAATATTTTAAAAGAGAATTTACTTTGTACTAACTATCTAGTTATGTAATATAGAAATGTTAAATGTGTGTGTCTATGTCATTGTATTTAAAATTTTTTTAAAAAAATATTTAGAGTTGATTTAATTAAAATAAGAGTTTTTTTTTTTTTTTTGAAAAGTATATGATGAATATTATTAAATCAAATGCTCAATACAAAACGGAATAGATGAAATCTAACTAGAGGGACCAGTTTGTGAACGAGCAGCCCTAGCAAGAACATGAACAAACTTATTCACTGATCTAGAGATAAAACTAACTGACACTATTTCAAAATGTCTACGAAATTCCTTGCATTCATTAATAACGTTGCCGGCATACGATAAGTCCACTGATGATCCGTTAATAAGATTGCACGCCGTCTGACAGTCAGAAAGCATCATAACCCGCATCCATCCTTTACCCTTAGCCCAAGACAAAGCTTCCTTCACTGCCATGACTTCAGCAAGATGCACATTGTTTAAGCAACGAAAAGAGCCATTTTTTGCTGCCACAAAACCACCATCTCCTATGGTAACAATGCTGAAAAAACCTTCCTCAGAATTAGGGAAAAGTGCCGCATCCACATAAAGTTTCAAAACACCCACAGAGATATTAGAATTACTAACCAGTGGTTCATGGTTGGGAAGGATTGTATCCGCAGTATTAGGTTCATTATGCATACTGTTCCATGCAGTAGCATAGTGAATGGCTTCATTTTCAACCTGAGCAGGAGAACATGTAGGCCATGTAAGAGTTTTATTACATGTACTTTGAAATTTTACTCCTTCAAATTTATTTTCTGATGTGTACAGATATTAATAGGATATTTTTTCATGTAGGCCCTATAAATGTGTCTATATTAAAATTTTGAGTGTGAGCATGGACGGAGGCATGATTGAATAGTGTGAGGGGCCAACTAGAGTTGAAAACTTAAAGTACTAAATCAAATACATTGATATCCAGTTAACATATTTCAAAATTAATAATCAGTACATTACAAATTTAATACAGTTTAGAATAAATCAATTATTATAATTGGATTTATATTAAGGGTCCGTTTAGAAATCGGGAAACTGACTTCTGAAAAATGTTTTCCGTGTTTTCAATGTTTGGATGTAGTAGAAAAATCCAGTCAACGGAAAACATTTTTCATTGACTGGGGAAAATGTAGACATTTTTGCGAAAAATAACTTATGCCAAATTTTGGCGTAAGTCATTTTTCGCCAACACTAAAAACACGGTTGCCTTCACCGTTGTCGTTGCTTTCGATTCCTCAGTTTCAAACCATTCCTATATTTTCCGGAAAATGAGTCATTTTCCAGAAGTCATTTTCCTGCTTTCCAGACGGACCCTAAATTATTTTGTAATATGTTTTTCAATGCATATTGCTTTGTACCGTTGAAAGAATGAAAACATTTATTCATGTTTTAAAAGACTATTGATTGTTTCTTGAAAATTAAACTCTTCACAACATATAACATAATAACAATTATTTTCTCAAATACCTATACTACACAATTTTTACATTATTATGCATGTTAAATTAAATATAAAATTTATCACATAATCACACATCTGCATAATCAACCAAACAAATACACCATGATATCCATTATTTAGAATCAAACAAAACAACTATTTAAAATAAACAATAGAATATGAAAAAAAAAAAACAAAAAAAAAACTTGAAAAATATGCATAGATTTTAATAATAACAAATTATTTTGTTATAGAGTATATGCGGCATATATGTATGGTTCTAGAGAGAGAAACTAATAGGTAAGTTAAATGAGGCTTAATTTGAATGTGACTCAACAATACATGGAATACATAATTTGAAATAGAGTGAACTGAAAAAGTTGAGAAAATGAAGAAGTTTATAACTTAATTTAAGTGGGGAATAAAATTTTAATATACTATATAATATTTTTTTTACAAAAAATTAATATTATATATAATGTTAAAAAAATTGGGGGCGGGGTAGGTCGGTAGGGGCCTTTGCCCCCAAGGCATACACTTGTCTCTGCCAATGACGTGAGAGTAAAAGTGTCGAGTAGAAAAGGAAATACATATAGTATTTTTCTTAAAATAAAATGTATTTATGAATGTTATAGTAAATGATTTAGCCACAGTAAAATTGGGACAAGAATGGCCACGGTCAGCAAAGAGTTGAGCTTACATGGAACGTTAAGATGTGCAACCGTGTGCACCACGCAAGGTGTGCACGGTTGCAATTCATAATTTCTATATTGTAGATTTATAATTTTTATACTATAAATTCATAAAATCTAAATTCATAATTTTTAAATCGTAGATTCATAAGTTAAATACAGTAGGTTCATAATTTTTAAATAGTAGATTCATAATTTTTATACTGCAGATTCATAATATATGTACTGTAGATTCATAATTTGTATACTGTAGATTCATAATTTCTATACTATATAATTATCAAATAATGAACATATAGTTTTGTGATTTGTGAATACAGAGTTCAACAATTTAGAATATGAATATAAAAAAATTATGAACATATAGCTCTATAATTATGAACATAGAATTTTGTAATTGTGAATATAGAGTTCAATAATTATGAATATAAAGTTCAAAAATTATGAATACATAACTTTATAATTATAAATATATAGTTTAGTAATTATTAACATAGAACACTGTGTATCATGCAGGGTACACACGATTACACAGCTTAATTCGTCAGCTTGCATTCGGCCAACCACTTGACGAGCATTAAATTAAATCGCTCCTCTCACCTCTGAATTTCCTCTTGTGGGAAAGGTTTGCACTGAAAAAAATAAAATAATATCGTAAATTATGTATTAAGATAATACTGTACCGCTTAATTCTAGTGATCGATCAGAACTCATAACCATCAATAGCGCAGTTTTTTAGCAGATATACTGCCCACAATTGTTGCACTATTTTGTTACAACTAATTCCCAACTCTCTGTAGAGCTTCCTTAAAAATAGCTTAGTTTTCTCTATCAATCAAGCTGGCTACACATTTCAATCTCCTATATATTGGCTTTGCATCCCATCTCCCTCTCATCCTCATCGGCTTTTTATCTCAAAAGTAAGCTCGTTTCTCTACTACAATTTTGAATTCATAATCTTAACATTTTGATTAGATCTAGATTAATGTGTTGTATTATTTTCAGTTTTATTTTGTGAATTGTGATTATTATACTTTTTGTTGTTTGTGTTTGCGTTTGTATATGTGTACGGTTTGTTTGAATTTGGTTACCAATCATGATTCTTGGTCTGAGTATGTTTTGCTTGGAATTTAGATATATGTTTTTCAATTATTGAATCAGTTAATAGATATTTGTTGTATGGACTGTGATTGACATATCGAAAAAGGCTGGAGAAAAAAAAAATTAAGCTATCATTGGAGTATGTTAAGCTCTGATACCATGTGGAATATTTAGTAAAAAAATTCAATATCTTTTTGATTCCAAGCATAGGCTTTTATTCAAAAATTATACAGTGAAAGACATCCATGTAGTTATGGTAACAACAATAGTACGTATATATAGAGAAACCAAATCCTGATCAGTAATCTATTCTGTTTTGTTTTTATTCGGTTCACTTTATGTTACAAAGTGGTATCAGAGCTTAGGTTGCGAAATTTTGGGCATAGGAAATTCAATTGAATAGGCTCTGATAAAGATTGGTATCAGTGCAGATGAAAGAAACTATTCAGATTGTTCTGGGAAGGGAGGCCGAACGTTTCAACAAGTTTCACAAAGTCATTTTCATCATCTTTTTCTGTAATGCCTCCACTTTGCGGATAAGCCTATAGATATATTTATTAGCCGATTTCGATTTCTTGTTTTACCCTTCTCGGACCATCTTAATAATTAAATTCATCTAGTTTGCCCTTTTTTCTTGCTCTTTGTTCGTCTCAACAATCTCAACTTTCTTTATGGTGGTGTCGTGGAGTTGGCTCCTCAGCCGAGGTATTCTGTATTCGGATTGATTTCATACTCTCGAAAAAAAATACTCGTAAACTTTTTCCCTATGGCTTCTAAGGTATTCGATAAACTTTTCGGCGCATTCAGCTCCAAGGAAATCGAAAAA